TGGCTCAGTGGTAGAGTGCTTGCCTTGCATGCATGAGGCCCTGGGTTCGATTCCTCAGCACCACATAAGCAAAAAGAAAAAAGCCAGAAGTAGCGCTGTGGCTCAAGTGGTAGAGCACTAGCCTTGAACTGAAGAGCTGAGGGACAGCGCCCAGGCCCAGAGTTCAGGCCTCACAACCGTACCCAAAAAAAAAACAAAAAACAAAAACATATAATCTAGCTGGGCATCAGTGGCTCACGCCTGTAATCCTAGCTACTCAGGAGGCTGAGATCTGAGAATCACGGTTCAAAGCCAGCCCAGGCAGGAAAAGTCCATGAGACTCTTATCTCCAATAAACCACTGGAAAACCACAAGTGGAGCTGTGGCTCAAGCGGTACAACACTTGTCTTGAGCTGAAGAGTGCAAGGACAGCGCCCAAGCCCAGAGTTCAAGCCCCACAACCAAAAAAAAGAAAAAAAAAAAAACATATAATCTGGTGGAGAAAAGCAATGATATTTTTATTTTCAATCTGCTAAGTGACCCTACAAAAGAAATAGGGCTGATAAAATTATTTCTACAAAGCCAGGTGCTGGTGGTTTAGGCCTATAATCCTAGCCACTCAGAAAGCTGAGACCTGGGGATCACAGAAACCAACCCAGTCAGGCAGGAAAGTGAGACTCTTATCTCTAATCACCAAAAAAAACCTATTTTTAAGCTGGAAGTGGAGCTGTGGCCCAAGTGGTAATGTGCTAGCCTTGACAAAATGATTCAGGGACAGTACCTAGCCTCTGAGGAGTTCAGGCCCCAAGACTGGAACCAAAAAAAAAAATTATTTCTGTAGGGATGAGCTGAAGGGCTTTTGGTTTACCTGAAATAATAATAATAATAATAGTATTTTTTGCTTTTTAGTCATCTAATAAAAGCTATTATTTGAGTATTATTATATGATCATTTATAAAACAATGATTACTTTGGTCCAGTAAGGGTGAAACTTCCCTTCCCGTGTGTCCTTAGAAAGTTTCTTGCCTTTTACACAGTACACTGAATCCTATCACCCAGTGCTACAGGCAACTTTTCCCCTGTATTCTTCTTCTTTATCCTCATTATGTTTTTCCTTTTTGTTAGACATAGCCAACACTAAAGAAAGCAGACATGGTACAATGAGAATCTCTCCTGGAAATCTATATTGCTGATATCATATGTAACCACTGCTAGCTAGCTCTACCTACTTTGTCTTCTCATTAAGTTCTAAGTCTCTAAAGAAAGAGAAAAAAGACCACACACACACACACACACACACACACACACACACACACACACACACACACGATGAAGATAATAATAAACAGCAAGCCTGAGCATAAGGCAAGTTGTGGTGAGAAACTGAACAGAAAAAAAAATCCTTAAACGAACAACTGTGCAACAAGCTTAAGTATGGACCATCTCCAATAAACAGAAAGTAGGTTTTGAATGGAGGTGGTTTCCATTTAAGAAAAGTACTGAGTAGGTTTTGCTTTCCTCTCCTGACAACCAAGCAGACCATAGGTATTAGTGCTGCGAATGACACTGGCCCGGAGGGAAGAGAAACCCCTTTACTTTTATGCTAACTCCAGGATTGGGTTTCAGCTTAAGCCACAGTGTTCCTGGAGAGGAAACCAGGAGGTAGATACCAGGTTAGAAAAACAATGATTTCTTCACTGCTGAGTTCTGTGGTTATTTTATTACTCTACATTTTTCCATACAAACCATATCTCCATTAAATATGCTTATATTAGACTTACTCTCAACTTTCCCAGAGCGATTCCTCGAGCTATATAACACCAATTACAAGAATAAGAAGGCAACAGGTATATCATTCAATGGCAACTAAAACAGTACTTAAAGATGCATCAAACAGATTCTCAGATACCATCTCCCTATTTGTTATAAAAACTCCAATCCCACAAAAACACACCTCTAACCAAGTAATGACTGACCACACTTTTATGTACTCTATATCAATTCAGGTATAGTTGCCAGGATGCACCTAGCCCAAACCTAAGAATCTTCTTTACCAAAAAGAAGAAAACAAAACTTAAGAGGGAAAGAATTGCTCATCAATGCTGACCTTGCTGCTCACTGTCTGCTTCGGTTTTTGAAGAACCAGGTGCAACAGGAAGGGGTCGCGGTGGCCGGGGCTTTGGAGTGGGAGGTGAGATTTTTTTCCTTCCGATATATTCGACATAAGTTCCTGGGAAGTCTCCCCTTTCCCCGGTGGTTTCATTATAGCCGTTTAACCAGCCAATTTCTTCAGGACGGGCTTCCTGCCCATCACTGAATCCAAGGGCTACCAAGGACCCTTTATTCACAGTCAATACGTCACCCAAGTGCAGATCAATGTCTTCTTCTCTCTCTTTCTTGTAGTCATACAGCGCTCTGTACTGGTACCCCTCGGCGCTCATGTTTACAGATCTGTTACCATGCAACAAGTCAAGTCTGGCTGTATACAACAGTCCAAATTTACGTTTTGATGGAAAGCAAATTCAGAGAGTGTGCTAAAATTCCTAATAGGCGTCCAGCAGAGGACGAAGGTTTAAGAGGAGATGGCCATCCGGCTGTCCATCTGTCCTCCATCAATGGTGTGTGTGAAGACAGGCTCCACTCCCTCTGTGTGCCACAGTGCCCCCTGGCTTCCTTCTCAGCAACTTGTCAACTCGCTGCCTGCTGGGTGACTCTCATGGCCAGGCCCAATCCTCTCTGATGCTGTCACACTGTCCATCTGTCTTCTGATTGTACTGCCACACTTCACTCGCAGCTTCACCTAGCAAAGGAAAAACAAGACTTATGAATGAACATCACACTTTGCCATCTGTGAATCTGAATTCCAATTTCCATTCAACAAGTCCTTAATCAACCTGGCAGACACACATGGCTAGTGTGCTATGGCTTGACACAGAGCACAAAAGACTACTAAGACAGTCCCTGCCTTCTAAGAACACTGGGTGGAGATAGGAGGAGGGGTGTGGGCATGTGGCAATGTCCCAGAGAACAACTAGTATACAAGGAACCAAAACATTAGTTAAAGCAGTAACAGAGGCAGACACTAAGCGCCATGAGGTTCAAGTGAAGGAAAGACTGCATCTAATTGCAGGAATCTGAGCACAGAATGGAATGTGTGGCACAATCCCAGGTGCTGCTGTCACAAGATGAATGTTATATTCTGGGAAGAGCTAGGATGGGCCATCTAATCCATCTGAAGCCAAAGGAAGAAGCAGGAGTCTATCCCACTGAAAAGACAGGGAAAGCATGTGTGACTTGATGCACACCGATGATGAGTTTGTGAACAATACACTTCACAGGGGGCAGCACTGAACAGAACAGAAAAAGGGAAGCAACAGAAGAGTTACACTTGAGAATTCCAACCCAAACACAAAGGGTCTGAGGGGTTGGCACACAGAATAGACGTGAGGAAAGCTAAGAAAGGTGCACTGCAGAAAAAATTAAAAAAGGAGAGAAGAGGGAGAAGATGGATGGGAGGGGAGAGAAGGCATGGTGATCTAAGGGCTAAATACTCAGTGATCCAACTGAGGGACATTCAAGGATTAGAGACAATGTGATGTCCCAGAACAGAGGAATCAAGAACAGACTGTGGATGCAGAAGCATCCACACAGGGGAGACTGTGGAATCACCATGGACTTCCTGAGAGGAGATCCCAAGCAAGTGATAAGGATAGCAAAACTAAACTTTCAAGAGTTAAAAAAACAGAGGAGTGAGAGGTTGCTGCTGCAGAGAACCGTAAAGCTGACTAGTAGAGGGAATAGGCTTTCCTTTCCGAAGCGCAGTGAGGGCAGAACAACTGGCAAACCTCCACTCTGCAGTGAGAGTTAGGAGTCAGAGCAAATGGCTTCTTAGACAGCACGCAGACATTGCACTCTGCTTGCTTCTCTGTGTTATCTTTATTATAAGGAGTAAAAACAACCTGAAGGTTTCAGTTAAGCTGGCCACACAATAAAGCAATAAAGACAACAGTCACACAACTTCAGGGTGTTGTATCAAAGAGAGCTTTTATAAATTTTGAAGAGTGAAACACTTTAGAAGTTTAATATTATAGGCCCTCTTCAATGTAGGCATCTTAAGGAGCAAAATCTAATCATAAATTAATTGTTTCATTGTCATTCAGAAGTGTAAAGTATTCAACTTCACAGGGCTAAAGCTTCTTAGCTGTAATGCAATAGCACTCTTAAGAGAGCTGCATATTAAAGGAAGTAAAAACAAATACTGGACATCTTTGTGTAGCAAGAATATTAATTTGAAATTCATCAGAGAAAAAAAAATAATGCCACCAGCAGAGCATAGGAGAAAAAAATAAGCTATATTATACTGAAGAAAGCCTCTCCTTTAGAAAGATCCAGAACCGAATTAAATATTCATTGCATAAATTCACACAAGAATGTAGAACAAGCAAATCTCATTTTTAAGACTGATGTACAAAGGAGACACAGAAGTCTAAAGAACATGGAAATTTGCATATCCCTAAATGCTTGGAAACCAGGCAATATGCCGAAGAATAATTTAATTCCTCCAAATCTGCCTCAACAGTTTTGAAAGCTTTTCCTGTTAGTGTATGGCTGAGTAGAGGGAGAGGAGGGGGAAGGAGAGCCTAAATCAGTAAGATTCTTAACAGAAGGGAGAACAATGATCTCAGCCTGGAGCAACCACCAAGCAGGCCCTGGATAGCAAGCACACCTAGATAGCTAGGTATAGTATGTTTATCTCTCACAAGGGGCACTGCAGTGAGGAAAAGGGTGCGCCCGTGCACGCACGTGTACACAAACGCGCGCGCGCTGGAATTCTGGGCCTCTAGCTCTCATTTGGCTTTTTTACTCAAGGCTTTTGCCCTACATTTAAGCCATGCTTCTAGTTCAACTTTCTTTGGGTTGATTAGAAATAGGAGTCTTCAGGATTTGTCTGTTCCAGTTAGCTTTGAACCATGATCCTCAGATCTCAGCCTAGTAGCTAGGATTATAGGTGTAAGCCACCTGGTGCTCAGCTTCTATTTTCTTTTTAAGATCTAACTGAAAACTGCTTGAATCCATCTGTAGATAAACCTGTAGGAAAACGAAGAGGTATCCAGAAACTGCAAAGACTTCTAGGGCCTTCATACTCTCCCTGGCCTTGCCAGAACTTTACTTTTTCTTTGTAAGAAAATCCGTGAAGAATTGTGGCTCCTCGTTGGACAAAGGAGCCGTACACCTTCTATGACTCAGAGACTGCAGTAGAACATGGTATTCCTGTCTTGTGAGATGCCACAATCACAGCCAGGGAGACTGATGCAAACAGGGGGCAGGTTTAACAATCAAGGTCAGCCATGATTCTGTGTCAGTTAAGTGGTTTTAGGAGCGTGATTATAAAAGAGGGAGAGCAGACAGGACATTTATTTGGGTAGGACTTGATCATGTGGTGCCAAAGTTCAGAGAGACATCTGTAGAGCAAAGGAGGCAGGCATTTCTACTCTCACTGTACCCTGAATGCTCTCTCCTGACTGCCATGCCCATCTGAATGAGTCACTGTTGTTATCACCAAGGTCTTCTGATACTTATGTGTCTATTAACCCATTCAGTCTTCAAGATAACCACAAAAGGCATATACTACCAATTTTCTCACATTACATATGAGGAATTCCAGAGGAGCAAGTTTAGTACCTTAGCTATGATTACATGCAGAAATTGAGAAGTACATCTAAATTCAGATTCTGGCAGCCTAATCCATACAACCTCCACTTCTGCCATTACCAAAACCTACTTCCCCACTCAGCTTGCTGGGATACCCAGGGACAGCCCAGATATGTCAATTGTATTAACAGTGCAGAATCTTGCCTAAGCTGGCTGTCCAGGCAAACCTTGAAGGCCTGCTTTTACTCTCAAGACAGAGTAGGCTTGCTGAGATTATTATTTTGCTCTGTCACCTATCTGAACAAAAACAGGCCATCACAGCTAAGCAACAACCCCAAGTCCAACATCCAGCATGTCAGCCATGCATATTCCTCCCCCCATCCTCTTACCCCCAGACTTTATTTAAATTCATTCTTGCCTAAGAAGTCCATAAAGCAGTGAATGGAAGAACCCTAGGCACACCACTTCTGGAAGGCTGCCCACTTCTGGAATTCTGCCCATTTCTGTTCTATGAGCTTAGCTTCTGCCACCTGTATCCCTCTTGGCATCTGTCCTCTATCCTACCCTAAGCCCCTTACTGCATAATTTCTAACAAGTTAACTCCTCCCCAGGGAGATATACGAAGCTTCAATCCAGAGTTTCGTCTTATCTAAAGGACTGGTAGATTCTTTCCTCTCTCTCTAGTTCTCCCCAGGACTTCAGAAGATCTAGCAGCTTGAGGCATCTGGCAATACCTATGTAACCCTCACATATACAACCTAACTCGAACCTAGCTCTGAGTCTAGGGCAAGTACTCCACCTCAATCCATACATTCCCTTAAAAAAAAAAGTCATTATTTGAAACTCTTTCCAGCTTTCAAATTTCTGAAGACCATAAAAAAAAAATCAAACTGAACCAAGTGAAAATAACCTAGTACACAAAACCAGTTACTATAGCTTCCATTTAAAATAATGGGGCTAGGGTGAATTTCATAGTGTATGTATTTCACCTCCATTAAAATGGGGAGATGGGCTCAACCTGAACTGAAAGTTACAGACATCAAACATCTCAACATTCATTTTCAAAGCAACTAGTTAACTACAGTGCGCTGGTTGCTGTCAAGCTCTAGTCTGAGTGGGTAACCCAGGCAAGCAGAGTCTAGAGCCTACAATCTCTGCTGACAAGGGGGTCAACAGCACATAGCAGGTGACACACTAAGGAGACAGGGCTCTTTGAAAAGCACTCACAGTACTGGATGCCCCTGAGCATAGTAAGAGAGGCAGAGGACTGAACGCAGTCCGCAGACACTCTAGTCATTACAGGGAGGCTGGAGAAAGAGGAAGACAACTAGTAGAACAGATCCTACCCACCTAGAAGAGGCATGATGAGGCTCACTGGTTTGGTTTCAGCATCCTCATAGGGTATCTAAAGAGAGGACAAGAGGAGACAGCCGAAAGTCCCTCTTCTTGTGAAAAAGAAATGCTATTCCTTAAAAGTCCATGGCAAGAAGGATGAACACTGAGCTGCAGACAGAGGCAGCTGCCCTCATCAGTGCCTAAATAATTGTGGGCAAGTCACTTAAACCTCTCCGTATCCGTATTGTGTCTGTGAGACAGACACAATAAGCAGACCTATAGTACCCCTGGTTATTATGCAGACTAAAGGCAATTACACAAAGCACAGCGCTCCATGAGTTACGGCAAGACTTTAGTATAGTTAACAACACTTCAGTGGCTACTATGTGCCAGGCAGAGTTCTTAAAAGTTGTACATGTACCAGCTCACCACCCTGGATACAATTACCATCACCATTTTCTGAAGGGATAGCAAGCAAAGACAAGTTAAATAACATGCCTGAAGCTACAGGGCAAACTGCTACCGCGGCATTACTACTCTTAGTAATAATAGAACTTCTAGTAAGGGTCACATTGAATGTCTCTTGTCATTTCTACAACTCAGATTTAAAACAGAAACAAGCATCTGCCAGGAATTTTCTCTTGCACTACCTTTAAGTTCAGCAAGCCAGTTCTAAATGGATCCTGAAGCTATCTAAAATAAAACACTGCTGTAAATAGCCAGATAAAGCCTGCATGGGGACTTTGTCCAAGTCGTTCTTTCTACCTGAAGTGTGGCTCTGAATAGGTCGGAGTTCCAGAGATCATGGAGGGGCCAGGGAAGTGCATAGGGGCAGTAAGGGAAGAAAGTTGGGGACACCACTTAGCTCCAGAATGGCTTAGTGGCTGGTCCCTGGCATGCTTCAAAAAGAAAAAATAAAATAAAATAAAGCAACCCCCTAGAGGGAATGAAGACACTAAGTCCACAGGGTATAGACCCAGTACAGGCGACTGGAGGTAGGGTGGAAGCAACCCAGGAGGAAGGCTAGCCTAGGGCTAGGTTTAGCCAAGAGCCCATCCAGGAACCTCCGGATTTACCAACTCAACTGTCTAACTGCAGTTGGTTGGTGGAGCCTCCTCACCCTTGAACCAAATAGTCTCCAGGGTGATCATTAACCAGAAAACTATTTTGACTACAGGTGCCTGTGGGTATGTATTTGATTTACTTTACAGGAAAACAATGCTTGCTGAACAAGATCTCCAAAGATGTTTTTTTTAGTAAAGTTCCTTTTGTTTCTTCCAGTAAAGCCTGTACAACAATCATTCTAGGCTTTGAGAGAGACAGAGACGAAGAGACAGAGATCTCTAACCCAAGCTAGGCTGACAAGTTTAAGTAATTACCATCTATTTTTCAGTTCATTTGGGTTAGTATACATGAATTTGCCTTTAATTGCCGCTCTCAGGCAAGTAACTTCAATAAGAGTATTGGCAGAAACATTGGCAAATTATCACACTAGGTTGTAGGCGGACAAGGCTGGGAAAAATGCAATAAATATAAGTGCTTTTAAAAATTAATTACAACCTACACTTTTAATAAAAAAGGTGATATAATTTTATTATGCCGTCTACTGATAACTTTGTAGTTTTCCAGAGTTTCATTAATAAAGAAAATTTCAATCCACCACCCTAAACATTAGAGCAATATGGAAAATCTTATTCAGGAAAGGAATGGACTTTTAACAGTACAAAGTTTGCTTAGATTAAATAGATCTACACTTGAGACTCAAAGACCTTCAAGGAAAGACTTAGATCTTCACAGACCATTAGAACAGAGGGAAATGCGAGTAACTAAACTTGATCATTTATCGAAAGGTATGAAAATGTCACAATAAGTGCATTATTTTGTGCAAGTAATATACATTAATAAAGAATAGTCTCAAAAAATTAATTCAAAAGCCCTCCAAACATCAGCTAAGGTGTATTCGATATTTCCTGAAGACAAGTGTTTCTTACCACCATTTCCACTGTCAAAGCCAAAATGTGGATCGCTACCTACCATTTCCTGTACCACTTCTGGTTCCCAAAAAACACTTCACACTTCAAATATATGAATTTCAAGAAATGGCTAAAGAAAACAACAACCAATGAACGATCAGTTAAATACTTTTAGGCACAGATGATGCAGAACCACAAATGTGAAAGAACACCTTAGTATCATCATTTTTTTAATCAGATAAAACAGCAGCTAACCATGTGTACATTGCAGCGCTCTGTTATGCAACTAGGGAGAAGTCCCAAATCAAGATCAAAGTTAAAAGCAAATTCAGTAACAGTTTGAAGCCAGTATCTCTCTCTCATACACACACACACACACACACACACACACTCACGGTATTTCCACTCTTAAAACTCTAGAGACTCCTAAGGAAAAATAGCATGGCCCTATAGTACCTACCTGCAACAGGTATGAACCAGCAAGAACACTACCCAGTACGTCTGCAAAGCAGGAAGCCTTCCCTTCCACTGGCCTTTACAATTTAAAACTTACCTCTGAAACACCGAACTTTGCAAATGGGGGGGGGGGATCGTAACTTTTTTGGTAATGAGCAAAACACTTGTTTCCCAAAGTTTAAACAATTCTTGTATCTAAAAATACCATCTGCTGACTTTAAGCAGTTCAAGAACAGTATAATCTGTCAAAAAGAGCCGGTGTGGAGTTTTATTTCCTTCTGCAATTATAAAAGCTGCTAGTGGCTCCCCCCCCTCTGGTGCACAAGTCACCTAATAGCCTGATCCAGAAATGACCCTCCAATCCTTCCCTAGCTCATAACCAACCATCTTGAAGGTTGCCAAAACGTGCCACAAGCTAACTGAATATCAAAAGGGATTTCCACATAAAAGTCTAGGTCAGTAAGCTTTGGAAAAAAAAATCCCACTTCACGGCCCAAACTCAAAACTTCTCACTCTTGATAGGACAGACTCTCACACTGTACCCAAAACCCGGAACTGCTTTATCCATTCTTATCTCGCACTATTTGACAAAGACTCAAAGAAGGGGGTGGGGAGAAGAAGAAGAAAATTGCCATGAAATCCCCCCAAATAAAGTTTAAAAAAAAAAAAAACTCACACCGAGACCAATAGCGCCCGCACGCAGCTCCGCCGGGAATTAACGGTGGAAGTGAGACCTTTCCGGTATGCACAGCGCCCCGAAGCTGAACTTCCCCAAATCTTGCGCCTGACACACTCGGCATTCAACACGGAACAGCCATTCCGCGCACATCCTCGCATTCTCAGGCTCGAATTCGGGTTAGCAACATACATTTCGGTACCCGGGTGCCTGTCCAGAGCTTTGGCTGGGTCTTTTGTCTCGGGATCAGCGGGATAGTTTCTGCCCTTGGGAAGGAAGGGAGGGTTAGATCCGCGGCTTCCAAGACCATCCTCCCCCACCCGTCTCCGCTACATTTCAGCTCCGGCTGGCACGCTCGCAGGCTTTCCCCAGCCGGCTCCATATTGCTGGGCAGGTCCCTCCAGTCTCGCCCCGCCATACACGCGCGCGCGCGCGCGCACACACACACACACGCGCGCACACACACACACGCACACACACACGCACACACACAAAGCTAGGTTTCCGGGCGGTGCCGAGACCCCGCTAAATCATGCTTCCAGCAACCTGGCCCGAGCCCGGTCGGGCCCCGGACCCTAACCGCCCCAGGGCGCACTTCCCCCACCCCGGAAGGGGAGGGCGGCAAACTTGGGCCGGCGGGGGCTGGAGTGGAAGCGAGCTCCGGGGACCACCGCCGCCCCGGGGGCCCGGCCTGCAGCTGGAGGGCCGCGGGGGGGGTGGGGGGGGAGACCTGGGTGCTCCTTTCCGTTAAACGCCAAGGCAGCGGGGTCAGGGCGCACTCCTCCTGGGGTGATGGCCCCGGGAAACTGCCGCCGCCAGGCGCAGCCAGGTGGCCCCTCGGAAGCGTGCGGTGCCGGACGCGGGCAGCCAGAGATCCCGGGCAACTCCCCGGGGCGAACACAGCCGGCGGCGTGCACACCGGCTCGGAGGAGGGCCGGGAGCCCCGGGAATGCCGCCGGGTGGCCCGGCGTGGGGAGGGGAGGTGCTAGCGCCTGGGGTCGGGGAGGGGGGTGCAGGGGGGCGGCGCAGGAAGGGGGACGCGGCACCGGCCCGCTTCCCACCCCCCTCTCCCGACTGGGTTCTGCAGAAAGAGAAGCGACTGCCGGTGACAGGAAGCGAGCGGCGTCCGCCGCGCGCACGCACTGCCTCCCCCTCCCGAGCACACACACACACACACCCGGACCCGCCGCCGCCGCCGCCGCCTACCTCCTCCCGCCAGCCGCTTTCCTTCCTCCGCCCGGCCCGTGCAGCCCCGGCCTCCAGAGCTCACGGCTCCCCGCGCGCCTCTGAACTCCGCTCCGGCCCGCGAGCCGCTCCTCGCTGCGAGCTCAGCTCCACGGCTCCAAGGCGCTCGCTCCGCCGCTGCCCTCGCCGCGGCCGTCGCTTCCTCCAAGTCCGCTCCAGCTGCTCCCGACTCTTCGCCGTGCGCCCACAGCTCCTGCGCCCGGCGCGGCCCCGCCTCCCGGGCCGTCACCCCCCCCGGCTCCGCCCTCCAACCAGCGCTCGCGGACACGCCCCTCTCCGCCCGCTCCACGCCCTCGCCTCTGCCACTCACGGCGCCGGCTTCTGCGCCCCGGGGCCGTCCGGGCGGGCGAGTGGAGCTCCGGCCGGGCTGACCCCTCTCGCGGCGCCCGCGCCTTCCGCCCCCTGCCGCGGGGATGCCCGGGGCGGTAGGGCGGCGCGCAGCTTCCCCCCCGCCGCGGAGCGCTCTGGCTTTGCACGCCCGAGGCTAGTCCGACTTGGCTGGGCGTCTCCCGGGTCTGGGGCGGTGGAAGCTGGGGAGGACCCGGGCAAGTTCGAGCCTCCCTGGAAGCCGGCTCTACTGCGTTGCTGCCAATCCCCAACTTTTTGGAACCTCCACTGGGCGGTTTGGGAGTAGGGGAAACGCGGATCGCTGAGCTCGCCAGAGCCGGGAGGCCATGGAATTCCTGACCTCGCCGGCACAGCCTTCCCAAGTGGGCGGAAAAACCGCGCCACCTCACGTGGCGTCCCGGGGGCGAAGGCGGGGTGAAAGGGTGCACCCGGAGGACGAGCGCCCGCAGCGGGCAGCGGACGCCGGGAGCCGGGCTCGGCCCCGTGGGGAGCCCGGCGACTCCTGCAGGAGGAAAGACTTTCACGTGTAGAGCAGACACGGCTCGATCCCTAGCAATCCTGAAATGCCGAGCAAATGTAGGTCGCACAGACCGAGGACTGGCCCCTCGATGCTCGGGGCCAGGTGGGAGAAAGTCAGATCGCTTCTATTTCTTAAATGTTCTTAATTGCAAAATGCAGATCCCTGGAATAAATCGTTACGTAAGTTGCTGGAGAAAAACTGGTTCAAACCTTCCCCTGATGAGATGGAAGGCTAGCACCCGGTATGTTGCTCTTGTCCCTATTTACACAGATAGGAGCCTGCTTTTTTTTTTTTTAAAGCTTTTTCTAGAATTCGGGGGGGGGGGAGTTTAGAGACTAGCACGCACCAGCCCCGAGTGCCTAGAAACTCCCTTTACAGCTCCTCTCCAAAGCTTTTGCAGGTATATTACTTTTTTAAATGTATTAGTATTAAATTTTTCTTTTTCTTTCTTTTTTTTTTTGGGGGGGGGGAAGCTGGGCCTGGGCCTGAGCACTGCACCTAAGCTCCTTTTGCTCAAGGCTAGGACTTTACCACTTGAGCTACAGTACCACTGGCTTCTTCTGTGATTAACTGGAGATAAGAGTCTCACAGACTTTCCTGCCCTGGCTGGCTTCGAACCATGGTCCTCAGATCTCAGCCTCCTGAATAGGTAGAATTACAGACGTGAGGCATTGGCACCTGGCAAAAATTTTTGGTCTTTACGTAATTGTACAGATGGGTTTCAATTCAAAATGTCAGCTTATAAGCATATTGATCTAAGTACGGTACATCGTGATTAATGTCAACTGCCTCCATCATTCTCTCTCATCCAGGAATATTACTTTAAAAATGAGAGAGACACAGAGAGACAGAGAGAAGCTAGGTTCTGGTGGCTCAAGCTTGTAATCCTAGCTACTCAGGAGGCTGAGATTTGAGAATCATTATTCAAAGCCAGCCTAGGCAGGAAAGTCTGTGAGACTTTTATCTCCAATTTGCCAACAGAAAACCAGAAGTAGCTCTGTGGTTCAAAGTGCACTATCCTTCCACAAAAAAGAAGCTAAGGGACAGCACCTAGGCCCTGAGTTCAAGACCTGACTTCAAAAAAAGTTAAACTTTGAATTTGGTGGTTTGTTTCTGTAGCCATTGGAAATGGAAAGAAAAAAATGTTGAAATTCACTACCTATAGGAAACAAAATTACTCACTTTTAAAGGTTACTCACATTCTAATGGAACAGTCCCACATATCTAATGTTTCTGTTAATCCAGAATGTCTCTTGAAGCTGAGATACAAAAACCCAGCAGCTACCTACATCATGTTTAAGACTTCACCAAGAGAGGGAAAACAGTTTTTATATTTGTTGTTGTTTTTGTTTCTTTTTGTCTTATTTGTTCTTTTATCTGTCTTTGGGAGGGTAAGGGGAAGACAGAAATGAAGGGACAAAGGGTGAACAAATGCATCAGTGGTACTCACTAGATACTATGTTGACATATACTTGTGGGTGAGGATGGGGGGGAAAAACTGAGAGAGAGCAAGGGAAGGAATGACATTCTCCAAAAAGAAATGTCCTCATTACATGACTTTAGTAACCGTAACCCCTTTATACATCACCTTTATATTAATAATAATAAAATATATTTACAAAATCAAAAATTCACTAAGAAAAAAAGAATCCATTCCACCTAAAAATAAATCTGAAATTGACCAAGATACATTCTTGGCATGTACTGTGTAAAGTGAATGGTGTGTCTCACCTTGTAGTAGAATTATTTACAACCAGTCAAATAAGCAGAGATGAAACTTCTCTGATGTTTGCATTATTTCCTTTAAGTCCAATTTTGAAGAAATGCCAAGAGTGGAAGCCCTTTGTACATGCCAAGTTCCTATAAAGGGATGTATGTTCTCTTCACCTTCAAAGCTAAAACCAGCACAAAATCCCTAATTGTACTTCCTATTTTAGACATTCTTTGACAACTTATCCTCAACATATGTTGTGTTTTTCTTTTTTCTGTCCTAGTTGAACACATTGCTGGAATCCACACATGTCCCATGAAACATAGAAAGATCTTTTTCCATATACAGGGACTAAATAATCTTTCATTTGTATTAAATTGATACCTAACCCCAACATCACTAGTGTTAACATTTTATTTTTATTTTTCATTGATTTCTATGAAGAAGCAAAAAGCAATACAATATTAATATTCACATTTTTTATGTGTGCACACACATGCCTGTCCTGGGATTTGAACTCAGGGCTAGAGCACTGTCTGAGCTTTTGTGCTCAAGGCTAGTGCTCTATCACTTAAGCCACAGCTTCATTTCCAGCTTTTTGGATGTTTAATTGAAGTTAAGAGTCTCATGGACTTTTCTGTTTGGGCTGGCTTTGAACTGTGATCCTCAGATCTCAGCTTTTTGAGTAGCTAAGATTACAAGCTTGAGCTGCTGACACAAAGCCAGATTTATTTTTTAAATAACCTTTTTCTTTAATTAAATCTTACTTGGAAACCTCAAATAGCATTGTTATATGGTGTAGTCAGATAGTGAGGCCAGGGGTCCCAAAGTACCTCCACTTGCCTTCCAAGTCATTACAACAGAACCTGAGAATTCACTCACTTGGGAACATAAAGTCTGTCCTCATGGAAGAACTGCTGGGATGGGCTACAGCAATCTGCTTTAATAAGCCCTTCAAGACAGTTGATGCATGCTAGAGTTGGTCAAACATTGCTAGGACCTCTGGGACACACTCGAGCCCACCATAATAAAATGTTCATAGAAACCTATGAATCTCACTGTTCAATGTATAACCAGCCAGTTGGTTGGCTGTCAGCTGGCACCCCCACCGAATAGCTCCTGATGTCTGAGGATGTACAGTGTTCAACAGGGATACATATATAATGCATAACTGCAAACATGGGTCAGAAGCAAGAGATCCAAGACAATTTCCATACAGTGAGGATTTGAGTGGCTCAAACAGAGAAGACAGCTTGTCCAAAGATAGACAGGGAGGTGCTTTGACTTGCCTCCATCACTCCAGCTAACTCAATTTGAATGTTAGAACAAGCTTCGTACACTTGAAACCTGGGTATGTCTTTTTAGGGTTCAAAATCCAAACTTAATAAATATAAATGTCTTAGAGCCTTATAGTAAGATTCCCTAGGCTATCAGTAAGAACTTTGTAGAAATGTATAATCCTTGGCTCTCTATTAGACCCCAGGAACTGCAATCAGCAGTTGAGCAAGGTTCTCAGGCAATTCTTATTCAAGTTAAACTTTAGGAAGCTCTTAGAGGTCCCCAATGGCACCTTGCCTTTGCCCGGGGAGCTCATAAAAATCCCATTACCTGGTCTTCATCCCAGATGGATCGTATCAAATTCTCAGTTATTTTTACATCTCCTTATGTGATTCCAATGTGAAACCAGCTTTGAAGAGCCATGGCCTTGGAGATTCCAGGCAGGAATGGTGCCATCAGGACCCTGAAGCTGGGGAAGAGTCCAAACGCTGGCCTGACAAGGAGCAGCTCAGTCTGGAGGTAAGGTTAGAGCTGTCGCACAATGATGTCGTCACACATTCACCAGGCCTTGCAATTTTCAGAAGGAAGCTGAAAATCCAGACTTTTTTTTCTGGGCAATTTCCCAATGATTAAATGCTGGCAATTAACATTTTTTGAAATGTGGGTTAGGCCATATTAGTGTGATGGCCACCAGTTTGTGATTTTATGATGCTGTACATCATAAAATTAAGTGTGCTTAAAGTAAGAAAGGTCAGCCAAGAAGCATGGGCTTATGCTGGTCTAAGGACGTGGGTTTTGCTCTCCAACAGCACCAGGCAGTGTAGGCATGCAATGGCTAGGTTGGCAATGGGTAAGATGGAACTGTGGGACCTTTTGCCCAATGTTTTTCCTTTACCTTCTATCCTGCCTGGTAACTAAAATGTGTTTAGGGGAAATTAATCTGTGCATTACTATCTTTACTATCTGTGCATTACTATCATTACCTATTATGTGTTATCCAGCTTAAACACCTATTATAGAGCAACATTCCAAAAGTGATTAACCAGAATGCTTAGTAGCACAGTAAGAATTCAGAGGATGAACAGGAATACAATTCTCATTCTGTAGATTTGAGGCTCCTAGGTGCTGTTACACTGCATGCCATTGACTTATTAGGAGGGGGAATCTCCCAGCCATGTCTTGGAGAGAGAGTCAAAGCATAGTCACTAGGCTCAAAGGTCTCTAATCAGAGCTCATGCTCTGGGAATCCTTAACTTGGCGAGTGAGCAGTGCTAGAACCCTGTGCCATACCTCCAGCGACACTTTGCTATCTCTTTTAGC